TCCCTGAAGTGCATAAGCGCATAGGAATCCTGAGGAAATCCGAAGGGAATCCTCAAGGACTGCTAGCGAATCAAAAGGAAATCCGAAGGAAACCTAGCGAATCCGAAGAAATCCTAATGAATCCTCAGGAATCCTACCGAATCCTCAGCGAATCCTAATGGAATCCTAAGGAATCCTTGCGCAGACCGCACGCCGTTCCTGTCCGGGTTCGCGCTTGCGCGTCTCCGGAATCCCTGAAGTGCATAAGCGCGTAGGAATCCTGAAGGAACCCTAAGGGAATCCCGAAGGAATCTTAGCGAATCCAAAGGAAATCCGAAGGAAACCTAGCGGATCCGAAGGAATCCTAAGGAATCCTCAGGAATCCTACCGAATCCTCCGCGAATCCGAATGGAATCCTAAGGAATCCTTGCGCAGACCGCACGCCGTTCCCGTCCGGGCTCGCGCTTGCGCGCCTCAGGAATCCCTGAAGTGTATAAGCGCCTAGGAATCCTGAGGGAATCCGAAGGGAATCCTCAAGGACTGCTAGCGAATCAAAAGGACATCCTAAGAAAACCTAGCGAATCCGAAGAAATACTGATGAATCCTCAGGAATCCTACCCAATCCTCAGCGAATCCGAATGGAGTCCTAAAGAATCCTTGCGCAGACCGCACGCCGTTCCCGTCCGGGTTCGCGCCGGCACGTCTCCGGAATCCTCGAAGTGTATAAGCGCTTAGGAATCCTGAAGGCATCCGAAGGGAATCCTGAGGAATGCTAGCGAATCCGAAGGGAATCCTGAGGAAACCTAGCGAATCCGAATAAATCCTAAGGAATCCATTGGAATCCTACCGAATCCTCAGCGAATCCTCAGCGAATCCTAAGGAATCCTTGCGCAGACCGCACGCCGTTCCCGCCCGGGTTCGCGCTCGCGCGCCTCAGGAATCCCTGAAGTGTATAAGCGCCTAGGAATCCTGAGGGAATCCGAAGGGAATCCTCAAGGAATGCGAGCGAATCAACAGGAAATCCTAAGGAAACCTAGTGAATCCGAAGAAAGCCTAATGAATCCTTAGGAATCCTGCTGAATCCTAAGCGAATCCGAATAGAGTCCTAAAGAATTCTTGCGCAGACCGCACGCCGTTCCCGTCCGGGTTCGCGCTTGCGCGTCTCCGGAATCCCAAAAGTGTATAAGCGCCTGGGAATCCTGAGGGAATCCGAAGGGAATCCTAAAGGACTCCTAGCGAATCCGAAGGGAATCCTAAGGAAACCTAGCGAATCCGAAGGGAATCCTAAGGAAACCTCAGGAATCCTACCGAATCCTCAGCGAATCCTAATGGAATCCCAAAGAATCCTTGCGCGGACCGCACGCCGTTCCCGTCCGGGCTCGCGCTTGCGCGCCTCAGGAATCCCTGAAGGGTATAAGCGCCTGGGAATCCTGAGGGAATCCGAAGGGAATCCTCAAGGAATGCTAGCGAATCAAAAGGAAATCCTAAGGAAACCTAGCGAATCCGAAGAGATCCGAATCCTACCGAATCCTCAGCGAATCCGAATGGAGTCTTAAAGAATCCTTGCGCGGACCGCACGCCGTTCCCGCCCGGGTTCGCGCTTGCGCGTCTCTGGAATCCCTGAAGTGTATAAGCGCTTAGGAATCCCCAGGGAATCCGAAGGGAATCCTCGAGGAATGCTAGCGAATCCGAAGGGAATCCTAAGGAAACCTAGCGAATCCGAAGGAATCCTAAGGAATCCGCAGGAATCCCACCGAATCCTCAGCGAATCCTAATGGAATCCTAAAGAATCCTTGCGCAGACCGCACGCCGTTCCCGTCTGGGTTCGCGCTTGCGCGCCTCAGGAATCCCTGAAGTGTATAAGCGCCTAGGAACCCTGAGGGAATCCGAAAGGAATCCTCCAGGAATGCGGGCGAATCCAAAGGGAATCATAAGGAAACCTAGCGAATCCAAAGGAATCCTAAGGAACCCTCACGAATCCTCAGCGAATCCCAATGGAATCCTAAGGAATCCTCGCGCAGACCGCACGCCGTTCCCGTCCGGGTTCGCGCCTGCGCGCCTCAGGAATCCCTGAAGTGCATAAGCCCCTAGGAATCCTGTGGGAATCCGAAGGGAATCCTGAAGGAATGCTAGCGAATCCGAAGGGAATCCTGAGGAAACCTAGCGAATCCGAAGGAATCCTGAGGAATCCATTGGAATCCTTCCGAATCCTCAACGAATCCTCAACGAATCCTAAGGAATCCTTGCGCAGACCGCACGCCGTTTCCGTCCGGGTTCGCGCTCGCGCGCCTCAGGAATCCCTGAAATTTATAAGCGCTGAAGAATCCTGAAGGAATCCTGAGGGAATCCTGAAGGAATGCTAGTGAATCCGAAGGGAATCCTATAAGGAAACCTAGCGAATCCGAAGAAATCCTAAGGAATCCTCTGGAATCCTACCGAATCCTCAGCGAACCCTAATGGAATCCTAAGGAATCCTCGCGCAGACCGCACGCCGTTCCCGTCCGGGTTCGCGCTCGCGCGT